AATAAAAACCAGTTATTTTATTATTTCTCTGAAAAATGTTTGAGTTCTGAACAACCAATTTGTAAACAGATTAACAACGCTCCACATGTGAGCTTGATTGAAAACCCAAGAAGCTCACAGTCTGATTTGGAATATAGAATGAAATTACAGTCAGTCCTTTGTTAATTCTGGTGCTTTATAGGAATACATAGGAGAATCTAGAACCAGATGTAGGGTGGAGATGACCGGGAGGGTTCTGAAGGGCAGAAAGGGGAACCTGAACTGAATCTGAAAGAACTTGGAATTGAGCGGGTGAGGGACCTCTGGAGAGGCAGAGACACTTTTTCGAAACAAAGCAAGAAGAAGCGTGAGAGATAGTGGCATATTTGGGGAACTTTAACGAGTTTGGACCTATTGTTTGCAGAGGGCAAGTGCTAAGATTTGGAATGAAGGTGAGTAGGCTGGATAAGATCTTTAAGAACCTCACATTTCCTAGTAAGGAGTTTGGGTTTTATCTTTAAGGTAGTGAAAGGTCACTGAAGGAGTTTACCTTGGAAAATAACATAACCAAACTTGTATTTTAGAAATGCAAATTGATTTTGCATTAACAGAAGAAATTGATTAGCACTAGCAGCTTTTGAAATAAGGAATAAGCTAGTGAGAAATAAGAGTAAGGTAGCAGAAAATTGGAGGAGGGAAGCATATTAGAGTATTCCTAAAAGAACCATTTTTACAAATCAAAAGAAACTTGGTTAGCAGTGATAAATGTTAAGTTTGGTTGAAGCTTGAGAATAAATGCTTGGCTTTATCAATCAGGAGGTTTTGTCTTGTTCTTTCTTTTCCTCTCTTTTGTAGCGGTTTTAGGATAGGAAGAGGGAAGAGAAAAGATGAAGAATGTTTTCTCAGTCTTTGGCTAGTAACTATTCAGTTTATATCTGTTATAGCTCTTTAATCTTAACATTACCCCTGTGGAGTTATAAAATCTGTTGTTACAAATAATAAATCACTCAGAAATGTTAGGAGTCTTGTCCATTTTCTCTCGGGCTTCACTTATAGCTCAGTTGGTAAAGAATATGCCCACAGTGCAAGAGACCTGGGTTCGACTCCTGGGTTGGGAAGATCCCCTGGAGAAGGAAATGGCAACCCACTCCAGTATTCCTGCATAGAGAATCCCATGGACAGAAGAGCCTGGCAGGCCACTGTCCATGGGGTCTCAAGAGCTGGACACAACTTAGCAACTCAACCACCACCACCCATTTTCTCTCAACTGCTAAGTGGTAGAGATGGAATTTGGCTTATACTTTTTCTGTGTTTTATACATGTTATGAGGAAATGCAATTTCAAATTGCCTCATTAATTTCAAGTTGAAAAATATTAAAAAGTGCAGTTGACTTTTTTGACCCAAGGAGAGAAAATGGCTTAAGTCTTGTTTAGAAGGCTGTAATGTACTGTGGTTTGTTTTCCCCCAGCGTCACAGATTCTGAGCTGTTTACTTGACCTTACTTCTGACTCAGCTCCTGCTGTTTTCCAGCTTCTCGTCTTCTCTCAGCGCGTGACATAGAGCCAGTAAAGGAACGACGAAAAATGTTCCCTGAGTGTTACATCCATTTGATCTCAGAATATTTCTTATCAGTAGCTGTAGTGTGAAGTGACTGAGGCAGACTGGACCTAACGTTTAAGAGTGGCAACAAGTGCCAGAGCTTCTCATTCAGCTAAAAGTAGTTTGGATGCAGAAAGCAGTATTTTCCTTGGTATCATGGTTGCAAATATCAGCATAGTAGCGCAGCTGCCTCTGTGCACCGTGGGATGATGGGGCAGCGTGCTGCGATCGCTCAGCCAGCACAGGGATGATCATAGTAGAGCTTGGAAAGCGCAGGGATTGGTCCCAGCCCCACTGCTCCGTAGTGGCCATGAGCTTGCTTTCTATGTCTGTGAGTCTGTTTGTATTTCGTATGTAAATTCATGTGTATTATTTTTTAGATTCTCTCTATAAGTGATATCATACAGTGTTTGTCTTTGTCTGTCTGACTTCACCAATTACAGTTTTCTCTAGGTCCATCCATGTTGTTGGGAATGGTGATATTTTAATTCTGTTTTTAATGGCTGCACAGTACTCTGTTACATATATTTATATATCACACCTCCTTAAGCCAGTTGTCTGTTGATGGGCACTTGGGTTGTTTGCATGTCTTGGCTGTTGTAAATAGTACTTCTGTGAACATTGGGGTGCAGGTGTCTTTTCAAATTAGAGTTTTTGTTTTTCTCTGGGTGTATACCCCCAGCAGTAGGATCGCTGGATCATGTGATAGCTTTGTTAGTACTTTTTAAAGGAACCCCCTTACTGGTTTCCATAGTGGTTGTACCAGTTTACTTTCCCATCAACAGCGAATGAAGGTTCTCTTCTCCACACCCTTCGCAGCATTTCTTATTTGTAGAGTTTTTGATGATGGCCAGTCTGATCAGTGTGAGGTGACACCTTGTTGTAGTTTTGATTGGCATTTCTCTAATTAGTAATGTTGAGCATCTTTTCATGTGCTTATTGGCCATTTGTTTATCTTTTTTTTGTAATAAATGTCTGTTTAGATCCTTTGCTCATTTTAATTTGGTTATTTGTCTTTTTATTGTTGAGTCATAAGAGTTCTGTAAATATTTTGGATATTAGCCAAAGTCGCTCAGTAGTCTGACTCTATGACACTATGGACTGTAGCCTGCCTTGTTCCTCTGTCCGTGGAATCCTCCAGGCCACGGACTGGAGTGGATAGCAGTTTCCTTCTCCAGGGGATCTTCCCAACCCAGGGATCAAACCCAGGTCTCCTGTGTTGCATGGTGAATTCTTTACCATCTGAGCCACCGGGAAGCCCAAGAATACTGGAGTGGGCAGCCTATCCCTTTTCCAGGGGATCTTCCTGACCCAGGAATTGAACTGGGGTCTCCTGCATTGCAGGAGGATTCTTTACCAACTGAGCCACCAGGGAAGCCCAAGTTTGGATGTTAGACCTTTATTAATTAGATATATGATTCGATATTCTCTCATTCTGGGGTTATCTCTTAACTTTCTTGATAATATCTTTGGAACACAAGTTTTTAACTTGATGAAGTCCATTATATCTATTTTCTTTCTTTTGTTGCTTGTGCCTTTGATGTCATATTGCTTAATCCAAGGTCGTGAAGATTTACTCTCATATTTTAAGAGTTTTAGCAGTTATGTCTATGATAATTAATTTGAGTATAAGGTGTAAGAAAGGGATCTAACTTCAGTCTTCATTTTTTCATATCCTCCTCCTCTCAGCCCTTGGCAACCACCAGTCTACTTTCTACTTCTGTAGATTTACCTATTCTGGGTATTTCATATAAATCATACATGTGACCTTTTGTGTCTGGCTTCTTTCACTTAATATGTTTTCAAGGGTCATTCATATTGTAGCCTGTATCAGTACTTAATTCCTTCCTATTGCTGAATAACATCCCATTGTTCAGATATACTACATATAGTCCATTTTGTTTATCCATTCATCTCCTGGTGAATATTTGAGTTTTGGTATATTGTTTTTTAGTCCCATTACTTCAAGACTTTTGACCTTATATATCAGCATGCTTCTTTAGATATAAATTGACAAATACAAGGAACAAAAAGGAAGCGCCCATACCTCTCACTCTTAATTAAAAGTAATGACAAAAATATGCAACAGTTTTCTATTTACCACCAAGAAAGTACTTTGTATTAGTGTCTTTCGCCTGTTATTTATTTTATAGCCTTCATGTTTTGTAAGTTGCTAAATATCCACTGCCTCATTTAAGCATCACAAGAACATTAAAAAGCACATATAAGGCATTTAAAAAATTGTTGTTGTTTTTCAGGAGAGGGTATTATTGATGATTGTCACTTACCCAAAGTTGTGTAGCACTTGAGTGGCAGAGTCTAATGGAACTATAATCTTTTGCCTCTAAATCATGTTCTTTACTAATAACAAAGTGTTCCTACACAAAGAATTTTAGCTATTATGCCCTGAGTCAGTACACTGAATTCTTGTAGTTAACCTAAATTATTCAATGAAAGATACTGTGCATACTTATTCTTTTTATATCACAATTGAAAATTAACCTAAAATATAGTTTTAACCCCAGTTATGATATTGGTATTAAGATCTAGGAATCATCTCTGTAACTCAGAATTTTGTCTTCTGGTGAAAAAAGCCAATGCAAAAGAGGGGCCATATGCATTTTCAGTTTTATTCAGTAGTATATACTTTAGATCTACCTATGTTAACTATAGGCTTTCAATGAAGTATTTGTTGAGTGAATAAATGAGAGGATTTATATTGTATTCTACTATCTGTGTGACATTACTAAATTTTATCATAAATTGCCACTGAACATTCCAATTAATCTTACAAGTTTTGAAATGAACACAGTGATAAAAGTTTTTATAGTCTAAAACATATTTAATAGAGTACCACTTATTGTTGTTCTTATTAAAATAGCAGATATCATTTAATCTTTATTGAACAAATGAATAAGCCGAGACATACAAAAGCTTAGTAACATGCTAGGTGGCAACCTAAGCCAGAGATTCCTCTTATGCATGTTTCATACAGCTATGCTGAGTTATAGAAATCATTAAAATTTAATTTTCTTAAAATAGCCCAGTATTGATAAGAGGTATTTAATAGCTTTCGATTTGGTAGAGCCTGTCTTTGAGGTGTGATTGTATTAACATTTCTATCATTCTAAATTGATATTTGTGTTTTACTACTTCTAAATTATATCCTTAAGATGCCTTCATGTGTGTCTGATTAAATTTTATTCTACTCATCAGTTCCGTATTCTTCCCACTTTCATCCCCTGTTCTTATCAGAAATTTATATATGGCTTTTTAAATGTCATTAAACATCAGCTATCTCATGTTTTTAGGGTCAGGAATTTTCCTAGATCAGCAAAACATCTTTTTTCAAAATTGCCAAAGGCTGCTTTAAGATACATTGTCATTTTAAACTTAGCAGATATTTTGATTCTTCTTTTAGGTGTTGACAGCTCTTCTACGACAAGCAGTGCTTCTCCAATGCCCAACAGTTATGATGCTCTAGAAGGAGGCAGCTATCCAGGTAATTTGTTTTGTGCATAGCTGAAGTTTATTTCAAAAGTTACTGACCATCAATTACTTTCAAACATGAACACTTACTGTACATAATTAGCAGGCTATATTTTTAACAGAGAAAGGAAACATTTTCCTGTTATTTTCAGCCTTAATTTCATGGTGTAATTGTCATGTAACAACTATGGATGCTGTCTCTGGGAGGCCTAAGGAAATTTAGTATTTGATTTTTGTTACCATGCTCTTTATCCTTTTCCTCTTTCTAGAAGACTTAATACTGAATAATTTTTCTCTTCTTTCCCTTCTTTTTTTTGCTTATAACTCCTTAAATTTATATTTCTGTTCTCATGCTTAGGTCCTTGAATTTCTTCCAACTAGCCTCTGAGTATAAATAGTCTTTGATACTTTACTCTCCCTATGGTTCCTGCCTGCCTCCACCAGTAAACCAATTTGGGGGTAGGTTTTGGAGGCATTACTTTTAACCATATCTGGAAATAACTTTGGTCATCATGTAGGAGCAGGAGTGGTGGATAGTGTTAAAAAATCTACAAATTTGACTTCTATAATGGATAGGTGTTTCATTCTAGCATCTTGTACTGTTATTTTCCTTTTTTGCCTGTCTCCTAACACCAACAGCCTGACAACCACACCTGATCTTCTGCCTTTTCTTTTTAATTATTCCAAACTTTAGGACTAACAAAACAACTTTTTGTGCTCTTCTCTTTCTTATCACATTGGTAATTATCCAGGATGAAGCTTAATTGTTGGAATGTGCTGGGCTTCACACACTGTCTTGCTATCACTGTCGTATGAATCAGTAGAAAACTTCAGTCTTCTCAGCTTAATATAGAGTTCCCTTTTAATATTTCAAGAATACTTAAATGAGCTACTCGGTCTTTTGTGGTTAAGGATTTTTTCCCCCTAGGGATCTGTGGATCTGTGTGTGTGTGTATGGGTGAGAAGTTATGGACCATTCCAAAAGCAATCCCCATTATCAGAATATTCTAGAAGAGTCACTTCATTCACTAAAAGATGAAACTATAACTGTAGTATTTCATGAGCATCAGGTTAACCCGAAGTAAAACATCCAATGTAGTGGAGTTAAAACATGATGGACTTGGAGTTAGACCTTGCTCTGTTTGTCTGTATTCCTTTAATCACCGGATCTTAATCTTGTTATGGACTATGCCTTGACAGTGAGTGAATGACCCTGGGCAAGTTTTCTAGCTATTTGTACTACACCAAAATTAAGGAAAGATGAGAATCTGTCAGAGTAAGATTAAATGAAGTAAGTCTGTATGTCAGATACTAGCTAGATCTTAGGGACTGTAGAGATGTATGAAATATTGTCGCTTTCCTAAACAAGAGGAAAAGCTTTGGACCCTCATATTTAGGACTCCTGTTCTTCATTTCTTAAGCTGATGACTCTTGCTATGTTAAGAGACCTTTCTATTAATACTTCTGTTCCCATCACCGTCAGGAGAGACAAGCAGGAAATCTGAGGAAAGGACATGACGTTGATGCTTTTGTCCTTTTAAGAATGTCCAGGAAGGTCTCTTCAAAAATGTGAGCTAATAGAGTCAGTAGAAGGATGGGATTCCTTAATAAACTTTGAAAAAATAAATTTATTAAAGTCAGATGCTTTTAAGAATTTTTTTGCAGAATATGATTGCTAGTGAAGAATATAATTTTTATATGAAAAATACACTAAAATACATATATTTTATTTTTAAAAAACCTTTTTATTTAGTTTTGGAGTATAGCTGCTTAGCAATGTTGTGATAGTTTCAGGTGAACGAGGAAGGGACTCAGCCATATATATACATGTGCCCATTTTCCCCCTAACTCCCGTCTTGTCCAGGCTGTCACATGACATCAAACAGAGTTCCATGTGCTGTTCAATAGGTCCTTTTAAATACAGCAGTGTAAAATACACATTTATTTTAGATTTAATTGTAAAAGGAAGACTAACAGTATAACAAAATGTTAATAATGGTTTTGTGTGGCAGAGTAATAGGCTTTCTTTTGTTGATATTATTCTTGTATGTGATAATTAAATTTTCTACAGTTATTTTCCCCCTACAGTATTCATCACGTTTTAGTTTCTGTTTTAAATGAAGGAAAAGCATTCATTCATTAAAGTTTATTTGGCCTCTACTGTATACCAGACATTGTTTTAGGAGCTGGACACTTTTCTAGACACTGTCTTTCATAGTTTCACAGTTTTGCCTCTGAAAATAAAGCAGATTTCTGGGGGATTGTGGAAATAGGCCACTTCTTCCATGGGCCTTTTTTTTTTTTTTAAATAAATATCAAGGTCAGATAAAAAGGCAAGTTGGAGAAGAGAGTAATTGACACTGTTTTTTATTGCTTTGCTTTGTTTTCTGCTTCTTGGCCCCATTTCTGCTGAGAGAATAAAGCGAAAAAATAACTATTTTCATATACATAAATATAAACTTATATGCTATATTGTATTTATTATATACATTTAGTATGTTATCTGTTAGGAATATCAACTGCAGTATGTGTCAGTGAAATGATACAAGGTGGAGTTTTCCTGTAATATATTTGTTAAAAAAAAATAAAGACGGAGTAGGAACATGTGAAACAAGATTAGCAAAATATTTAAAGCTAAGTAATGGATATATGGGTTTATTATTTTGTTCCGTCTTGTATGCATTCACAATTTCTCATAAGGAAAAGTTTTAATAAGAGGAAAGAAAGTGCCATAAGTTGCGGCTCACCCCGGTGTCCTTGTGGAGCACCGCTTTTCAGTGACCACCATGACTTTGCCTTTGTTAGATGTGCTTTCCTCATCAGCAAGTAGTCCTGTTCCTGACCCCGCTCCCGGCCCCGCTCCAGCGCCAGCCCCAGCGGCTCCTCAGCCTTCAAAACTGCCCAAGCCGTTTGGGTATGGCTATCCGACTCTTCAGCCTGGCTATCAGAATGCCACAGCGCCGCTTAATTCTGGAGGACCACCCAGTAGCCCAGTGTATTCTGGATTCCAGCAGTATGCTCAAGTATGTATTTAGTCATATAAAGTTATACAAAAATTGTGAAACTTAGCAATTCTGACCATTCCCTGGTGATTCAAATGTATCATAGGTGCCAATGTAGATAGGCCTAGATTAAACATGCACAGACTTTGATTCCAGTTTGTGTGTGTATGTTTATGTGTGTGTGTACTTGTACTTTTATTTTTCAGAGTCTCTGTAATGTGCAGAGATATTTTATGATCAGGAAATTAAATGTTATTTTGAAGTTTGTATTACTAAGCTGGCTTTCTCAAAAACTGACATGGTATAAATGTAGTTTGGGATTTTGGTTTCAGCGCTTAACTTGAAGAAGTCTCTGACATATAGCTAAAATTGGTAAAAGCCTCAACAAATGCTCATTAATACATTTGTTCATTATTTTTGACTTGACCTTTCATGGAGTTACCTCTTAAATACCATAGCAATTTATTAAAAGGACAATAAGTATTTTGCATTTATACTTGTTGAGAAAAAGTAAAATATAAGGAAACAGTTTAAATGAAAAAGCATTCTACTTACAATAAAAAACTGCTCTTAGTAGGCTCACTTTACAGAGATTTCATCTTATGGTGAACTGATGAAAATTAGAGAAGAAAAAAAAACATTTCTTCCTGGAATTTAACTTTAGAAGTGAAGCACGGAAGGAAGAAGGAAACTGGGGAAGGTGCTGGAGAAATATGGCTGGTTAGTTCAGGCTGCCCTGCCTTCCGTTGTGTTAGGTTTTCTTTTGGGCTGTGTTGGTCCAAATGGAACTCCACTATTTCAGGATAAGTGAGCAATAGGCAGATAGCTAGGTTGTGCTTTAAATTCTTATCTGTCTACTTAAAAAAAGATTATAGATTTTAATCTAATATTAACATTAACAAGCTAATTTTAACAGAAGCCATTTATTTTTCAAGTCCTTGTTAGAATAGGAATATTTTACTTGAAATAGCTTTCTGTAGTAAAAGTGAAAAGTAAAAGTGAAAGTCGCTCAGTCATGTCCGACTCTTTGCGACCCCATGGTCTATACATTCCATGGAATTCTCCAGGCCAGAATACTGGAGTGGGTAGCCTTTCCCTTCTCCAGGGGATCTTCCAAACCCAGGGATCGAACCCAGGTCTCCTGCATTGCAAGCAGATTCTTTACCAGCTGAGCCACAGGGAGTAAAATTGAAATGACTCTAAATATTGTATCTAGTATAACCCAGTGGGAGGGCCCTGAAATCTTAAGGGTTTTCTTGGTATTCATTTATTTGAGATGACCTTTACTAAGTAGTGGGAAACCCCAGTGGTTGCCCTTTGAGGAAGAAAAAAAGCTTAAAATTAGTTTTTCAGAGTTGAAAAACAGAAAAAGTTGATGTTTTAAAAAGAAGGGAATTCCCTCAGTCCAGTGTTTAAGACTTGGTGCTTTCACTGCCTTGGGCTCATGTTCACTTTCACTGGTTGGGAAACTAAGATCCCACAAGCCATATAGTATGGCCAAAAAAAAAAAAAACCCCTAAAAATTAAAAAATAAATAATTTTAAAAGAAAAATTAGAAAAATATTTTAGGGCTTCCCTGGTGGTTCAGTGGTTAAGAATCTGCCTTGCGATGCAAGGGTCACCAGTTCAATCCCTTGTCCAGGAAGATCCCGTATGCCAAGCAGCAGCTAAGCCCGTACGCTGCAGCTACTGAACCTGGGCACTGAGAGCCTGTGCTCCAAACAGGAGACGCCCCCACAGCGAGAGGCCCTTGTGCCACGACTGCAGAGTAGCCTGCTCACCACAGCTAGAGAAAGCCCGTGTGCAACAGCAGAGACCCACCACAGCCAAAAAAAATTTTTTAATCTTTAAAAAAATATATTTTAGTGAATATGTAAAAAAAAAACAGATACAGAAACTGTATGGCTTTTTTTTTTTTTAATTAAAAAGCGGTGCATGATCAGTTGTAGGAAAATGTAGATGAGCAGAAAAGAAGAAAATATCAGCCAGTATTTCCACCATCAAGATATAAACAGTAACACTTGGAGCTTGTCCTTACAGGTTTCTTGCTATATGTATCTACGAGAGAAAGCCTAAAAAAAAGAGCTGGGCATCTAAATGACTTATTTACGCAAACAAGTTGATAAATATGAGCATTGTTTTACATTTTTTAAAAAATCCTTGAACAGCATGAGAGGGAACCTTTCCATATTATTTCATACCTTTCATCTAATAGCTACGTAATGACTAGTATGCTAATAGCTAGTATGACCAGCCTACTGCTATTGGTCATAACTGAGCATCAGAATCAACATGTACAAGTGTGCACAAACCTTTGTGCATTTGTCTCATTATTAACTTAGATGAAATTTCTTCAGGTAAAATTAGTCAATCACAGGTGCTCATACCAGACTTTAGAATTTCTCCCTGCTTATTCATTCAGTGAAAACTGAGTTTCTACTATGTGACAGCCCTACTCTAGGCACTGAGCTACACGAGGAAGCCAAGTGCCCAAAACAGAGTTCCCTCTCTCAAGAAACTTGGTGGGAAGGCCAGATAAATAGGACAATAAGTAAATCCACAAATTAACAAGCTGATTTCAAACAATTATAAATGCTGTGAAACAAGAAGAGTTGAAACAGTTGCAGGGCTTGGGTATGTAAACAGGAAAGCCCTCATTGTAGAAGTTTTGTTTAGTTGGTATTTGAGTGACAGGAGAAGTCAGGCAAGGATAAATATGGGAGTAGAGAATTTGGGGCTGAGGAAACACATACACAGAAACGTAAGGCAGAGGCAACTCGAATGTGTTTCAGAACTGAAGTTCCTCTGTGGCTATAGCCCAGCTGGCAAAGGGAAGAGTAATAGTAATGTAATCAGAGAGTTTGGGAAAGACCATAGTCAGAAACTTGAGTTTTACACCGAGTGCAAAGGAAAGACAGGAGATTTTATGGAATGAAATGAAATCTGGTTTATGTATTTAGAGAATCACTTGGCTACTAAGTGAAAAACGGATTAGGGATGGGAGTATTTGAAAAGATAAAAATGGAAACAGGGAGACAGATGGAAGCTTTGCATCATCCCAGAAATAGATGATTATGCTTTGTTCTAAGGTGGTATTGGCAGAGGTAGTGAAAAGTGGATGCATAAGGGATATCTTTTGACTTACTGATGAATTGGATGTGGTGGGTGAGAGAAAGGAAGCATTAAGGATAACTCTTAGGATTTTGCCAGGACAGCTGGATCGAGGGTAGTGTATTTATTTAGATGGAAGACAGAGGAATAGTTCTGGGAATGGGAATCAAGTTGGCCATATTAATTTAAAATGCCCAATAGACATCCAAGTGGAGATGTCTAGCAGACAGTAGTTTTTGGTACTTAGATATGAAGAAATAATGTACCAATTTATATTCCTAGCAAAAGTTTCTATGACTTCCCACTTCTCAGTATGCCAAGAATTATTTTTTTATAAGCAAAAATGTTTTACTATTTTCATAATTATTAGTTATTTGTGTTTCTTTACTGAAATCCTTGTTCATATTCTTTCACCATTCTGTTCAGGTCCTTCTGGTTTGTAAAAGCTGTCTGTAATAAGTACATTAACCTTTTTTTAATCTAATTTATATTATAGTTCCCCCCCCCCAACTTGACATTTGTTTTCAGTTTTTATGTTTTTTTAATACATTAGAGAAATGTTTATATAGTCATATTATAATGTCTTTTGTTTTTGCCTTTGTTTCCTTTAAAAGTCTTTTCAATCTTAAGATTAGGAAAAATTCCCTCTGTGTATTTTTTTAGTTCTTTGCTGACTTGACTTTTGCATCTATTAAGGTTTTATTTTGGAATATAAATATAAATCTCATTCCCTCTCCAAAATAGTTCTAATTTAACTGATATTAAATAATCTATTCTTTCTCATTGATTAAATATTCCACCCTTATTTTCTATCCAAAATTCTTAAATTTAAATTCTAAATTGTTATCCTAAATTTGGGTCTGTTTGGGGTTTTCTGTTACACACTGGAAACTCAGAGAATCCCTTTTATTATGCAGTGTTTTTTTTTCCTTTTGCTTAGTTTCAGCAGCTTCAATTACTATCAACAATTTGCTCTACTTGTTTTACCTATCCCCAACACACACACACACACACACACACACACACACACACACATACACACACCCTTTTCTTGCTGAGAGTCTTAAAGCTAACCCTGGGCAGGGCAAAGCAGGGAGATGAAAAAGATAATTTCTTGCAAACCGTAATACCAGTGTTAGAGCCAATAAAATTAACAATAATTTCTGAATGTCGTTTAAAATTCAGTTGGTATTCAGAGTTGCCTGGTAGTTTCCAGGTTGCAATTCTGTAGTTGGTTTGTTCAAATCAAGACTCACTAATTGTATTAGCGTATTTCTCTTAATTCTCTTATTGACTCTAACACAAAACTCTGCCCCTGTTTTTTGTGCCTTTGATCTTTTGAAAAAAACTGGGTCTCTTGATCTATAGATTGTCCCACATTCTGAATTTGACTGATGGCTTCTTGTGGTATCATTTGACTTGTTCCTCTGTTCCATTTTCTGTGGACTAGAAATTAGATCCAGTGGCTTGATTAAATTCAGTATATTACTTCATTTATGTAGTTCATAAGCCAAAATATATATTTTGGTTCTATGTACAACATAATAATACCTGGTTGTCTCACTTCAGTGGTGCTAAGATAGATTAGTGGGTTCATTTGGTGACAGCCTGATCTTTTCATTATGAAGTTCCTCATTAAGCTTTCACTCATCTCTTGGTATCTGTTTATCATCTATTCCAGATGACCATTACATGTATCATTTATTCCCATATGGGTTGTACAATAGTGATTTTCTTGACTTTATCATTCTGTACTGATTAGCTGGAATTCCTCAGTATGTTCATATAATGGAATGTTTGATAACTATATAAAAGAATGTGGAGAATCTCTATATACAGATGTAGTTATTGCTAGCACTCTTTTTTAAGTGAAAAGATCACATTTAGAGCAGTGTATATATATATTAGTTTATATTGTATTATTAAGTAGAGACAATGGAAGATAAGACCAAAAGCTAATAGTTAGCTTAGGGAGAGGGATCAAGAGTGAAACAAGATATTTCTGAATTATTATAAAGTTTTGACATTAAAACTACATAAATTGTATTCAAAAAAACATAAAATGAATAAAAGATAGAAAGCAATCCTTGAAAATTAAAATCAAACAAAAAGAAGTGAACCAGTTTATCAAGTTGAATACATGCGGATGTAGAAAAAAGTATTGTTTTAACAAATCTTAAAAATCAGTATTTTGTATGTTCTGAATGGAAAATAATCTAAGGACAAAAGAACTACAAAGAAATATTTAAATAACCTTACACTTACAATAATATTAGTGTTGTTATATTGGAACTATCTTAGGATATTGTAGGATGAAACAAATAAGTAAGGCTGTTACCGGAGCTTCCCAGGTGGCTCAATGATAAAGAATCCACCTGTCGACACAGAAGATGGAGTTCAATCGCTGGGTTGGGAATTTCCTGTGAAGGAGGAAATGGCAACTCATTCCAGTATTCTTGTCTGGAATATTCCAAGACAGAGGAGCCTGGCAGGCTGCTGTCCATGGAGATGCGAAGAGTTGGACTTGACTGAGCACATATGCATAAGGCTGTTACCATTAGAATTCAAGATTTTCAGCAAAAGAGTGATATAGGCATAAAATCAAAAAAGTTAAAATGCCATTACCTAAATTTGAGTTGGAAATGTGAGCATGAACTCATTATTTTTTTTTTCTTCTTCTTTGATTTCTATCTCTGTTGTAGAAGTCTGGAAGTAATAACAGCACAATAACAATGTTATCTAAATTATGGTCTCTAGATACCATCCCAATTTAAAAGGAACCAAGAATCTATCTTTGGTAAACGGTTAATTTCAGTTCTGAAGGAGGAGTGATACGGAATGTCGTGTCAGAAAACAAAGAAACTAACAGAAACAAGGATTCATATCAAAAGGACACTGGAATCAGCTGTAAGGGGCTGTCACTGGCAAAAGATTGGGTAGTGTGGGCATCAAAGTGAATAGTAACTACAATTCATTAAGTCACTTTGAGTTAATAAGAGCCATGACTTCATAATAATTTAAGAATATAAAAGGAAACAAAAACTAAGCAAGCAGAACTCATAGAACATCATTGACATTCCTATGGCAGGAACATATTCTGAAAATTGAAAAACTTTAAGCATTTATCCTGCCTTTCCAGTATGAAAGATATTCAGGGAAACCAAATTCTTGATGTTGAAAAGCATTGTCGAAATTTTGTTGTTTAGTCTAACCATTCACATAAGGTTTAAATTTTTTCAGTGTTTTCGCTTTGAGTTTTTTTAAGAGTGCTTTAAACTGAGCTGCCCTATTAGGTTTTTCTATTGTTACAGAGCTAGATTCAAACTTTATCTTCTTGCTTTCCTGTATGTTAATTTCCTGTACATAGTCTAATAAATTGTATTCGTGTTTGATACATTGTTCTTTTGTTTTGTTTCAAATTGCTCTTTTAGCAGTATCCTGGTATGAACCAGCTGTCCTCCAGTCTGGGAGGATTGAGTCTTCAGAGTTCTTCACAGCCAGAAAGCTTGAGACCCATCAATCTTACTCAGGAGAGGAATATTTTACCCATGACTCCTGTTTGGGCTCCTGTACCCAACTTGAATTTAGACCTCAAAAAATTAAACTGTAGCCCAGAGTAAGTATTTATAATCTTTAGTAAGTAAAACCTTGTCAAAAACATTGCATGACTTTGAAACAAAGTAAAAATACTATGGTATTAATTCCTTGATTGGAAGTTTTGTTAATGTGAACGCTTGTAATTTAGTTTGTGTAGAAATTCTGGATGTAAAATTTAGTTTAAGTCATTGGCTCCTGTCCTCTTTGTTGCTATCGAGTCTCATTCCTTGTCTCATTCCCTATTATCTAATGCTAGGAAAAGTTTTTTCTATTTTAGTGAAGGGTTTTAGAAACCCAAATCTAACTATATTTTTCTTAAATTTCTTTCTCCTCACTTTTCACCAGTAGTAACTTCTGATGCCTTTTAAATTAGGTGAAATCTTAATTTAATGCAATTCAATCTCTGCTTGAAAAGGATAGAGATTAGATAAGTAGTTTTTTTCTAAATTTTCTTTTCCCACTTAGTGTTGAATGAGAAGACCCTTGCCCCAACGTGTATTTATCCATTTATTTAGCCTGAATATTGATTTGGATTTTCTTTATTGAGCATTTCCTCACCTCACAGAGAAGTTTAGCTGGAGCCTCCATCTGATGGCCACAGGCCGCTGCTGTTGCTTCACAGTGCCTGCAAACCGAAAGTTCTCTGTTACTGCCTGCTATCTGTTTTTCTGTTTCCTAAGTATAGAATGTTTCTCTGTACCCAAACATCTTCCTGCTTCTGGAATCTCCTCATAAACTCTGATTCACAGACAACACTGTCTTCCTTGCTTTAGAATTAGTGTTCTTTAGAGGCAACATATATATATGTATTTTTAAGGCAGTAGTTTTCTAGCTTGAAAAAAAAAGCTAACAAGTTCCTCTGTTTTTAACCAAAGTCAGGAAACAGAAAATGGGGGTGCAGGGTTCCACCTCTTCTACCACACCCTACACTAGCCCTCAATCACTGTCTAAGGCAGTGCCAAAATCATTTCTATAAAAATGTATAATCATTGATTCCAGATTGAAAGTAGATGCCCAAACTACATGTAAGTTGCTATCGGGTCAATAAGTATGTGAATTATGGCCTTGTACTATGAATGGTTAGACACCTCCCCCCCCCTCAAGTAGGTAAATATGGTATATGTTTATGTGTAAGAGATCACATAGATAGGGAATAGTTCTCTGTTTCTACTCAATTATGTGTAAAATACATAAAATACCTCTTACCTAAATAGCAAAGCAGAGTAGTAGGCTTTAGAGCATAGATTTAGAGTTTGACAGACCTAGGTACTTATCATGATTCCACTGATAAGTAGCCATGAAGCTGTGCCAATTACTCAATGTCTCAAATCTGTGTTGTCAACTGTAAAACAGGAATAGTAATTGTGTCTGCATATTAAGATTAGTCATTCAGTATTTCAGTCAGTTCAGTTGAGTTGCTAGGTCGTGTCCGACTCTTTGCGACCCCATGGACTGCAGCATGACAGGCTTCCCTGTCCATCACCAACTCCTGGAGCTTGCTCAAACTCAATGTCCACTGCGTCAGTGATGCCATCCAACCATCTCACCCTCTGTCGTTCCCTTCTCCCGCCTTCAATCTTTCTCAGCATCACGGTCTTTTCAAATGAGTCAGTTCTTCGCATCAGGTGGCTAAAGTATTGGAGTTTTAGCTTTAGCATCAGTCCTTCCAGTGAATATTCAGGACTGATTTCCTCTAGGATGGACTGGTTGGATCTCCTTGCAGTCCAAGGGACTCTCAAGAGTCTTCTCCAACACCACAGTTCAAAAGCATCAATTCTTCAGTGCTCAGCTTTCTTTGTAGTCCAACTCTCACATCCATACATGACCACTGGAATTGAATGCTTTCTGAATTAGGTGTCAGGCACTGTTTCTAGGTGCTGGGAATGAAGCAGTAAACCAAACAAAGTTCTCAGTCTCATGTAACCTGTATCCTATTAGGGAAGATGCACTGTGAGTAATCAAAGCAATGAATAACTATGAAGTAGGGAGTAGTAAGGATTGAGGTTGATTATTTTCAATTGAGGAGTCAGGATAGGTTTTCCCAAGGAGTTAACATTTGAATAGAGATCTGAATGAAATGAGAGAGCAAAATGTGACTCTGGAAAGAGGGTGCCAAGCTGCATGAACAGCAGATGCAGTGGTCCTGAAGCAGAAGGCAACCTGGTGTGTTCGGGGAGTTCACCAGTGTGGAGCCAGCCCGTGTCTGGATTATCTCTGCATGCTGTCAGCCACGCTCCTTAGACGTCCCGGCACCGCCTCCGGCAGCTCTGCCTGTGTGTCTGGCTGCTTCTATGTCGGTTCTGTGTCTGCCGCTCTTGGGTTGTGAGCACTTGGTCTGTGAGAGGAATAGTGCTAGGGCGACACAACGAACCAAAGGTCGCTGATGGAGAAGATGAAGTACACAACCAAAGCAGATCAGACTAACTGATGCCCTGGAAGCATTCGTAGGCCTCAGAGCACAGAGGAAGAAGCCATTCCTTCTGACTTGTGATCAGGGGTGAGGGTGGTTTCACAGGAAGCTAGAACTTTGATGAGTCTCATAGAAAAAGGAGGAGTTCAGGAGTTCAGTAGGTAAAGAATGCACAGTTGAGCAAGAACAGCATTCTTAAGATGGAAAGGTACCGTTTCACTCATGTTTTATGCTCCCTCCTGTTCATGCCCTGATAGTCATACTAGAGTTACTGTGTTTTCCTAAGTGTGTTGTACTTTTTCACCATGAAAATGTTGAGTCCTTAATTCGGATCTTTTGGCATATAAATTGCATATGTACCTGTTAAGTCATCAGGACCCTCGTAGTTATAGTTATGTAGTATGTCCAGTGATTTTCACGCATCCTCTTAAATGTCTGGCTGTCTACAACTGTCCACATCAGTGTTAATATTTTTCCTGATAGCTGACATAGTCCATGTTGTTTCTGTCTTTACAGCTCATTTCGGTGTACTTTAACAAATATTCCACAGACACAGGCGTTACTGAATAAAGCTAAGCTTCCTTTAGGATTGTTGTTACATCCCTTCAGAGACCTAACGGTAAGGTAACATATTTTAAGATATTTGTGGGTATTGACCTCTGCACTTACGTGCAAGATGTTTAGATTGTATATTTTCTCAGAACTTTTTTCATTTTGTTTTATTGAAGGTAGAATTAATTATTTCTGTCAGTTTTGATACAACAAACGTTTTCTGTCACCTGCTGACAGGAGCAAAAACGTAAAGGCAGATAATTGCAGTGCAGGATAACTAATACCTGTAACTAATCAGAATCTATGAAGTAGTTAGGTAATGAATACAGTACTGGAAGGGGTTTCCTCTGGGTACAGTAGCAGATGTTTTCTACAAGCAATGAGATCTGAGCTGGATTTGGAAAGATTGGTAGTTTTAGCGGTACTGTCAAACGGCCACAGGTGACAGGTGAACATTATGAGTTCTTTTTTAAACATAAAGAAACACCACTAATGATGCACAGTTACAGAGGAAAACCATATGATTGTTCCCAACTGTATTAATCAGATAACCTTTGTAATAATAAAGTCTAAATTCTTCAAGCCTATTGAGTTAAAGCATTATTTTTTAACATTTCCATAGTCTATTTAATTTAATACCTACCATGCTGGATTTTTATACATATTTCTGGTATTTCATGCAATATATTATATTTAAATTAAAATTTCTAAACTTCAGAAAAAACATTTAATCAGATACATTTTATTTATACTTTATAAGTTGTATTTCACCCTCATACTTCTTTATAACTGTGGTTTTTTTATCCTTTCATTGCTAATGAGTTTCTTTTGCTCTCATTCAACCAAAAAACATTTTTTGATTACTTGTCATACTGAGTGCTGAGGATACAAAGGTCATTAAGCTTCCTTGTGGAGTTTTCTTTTCCTCAAGTGAATAGAAAATAAAATAATTATAATAGGTGATAATACCTTTATTATATTCATTTAGTAAGTACTATTTGACCACCTGTAATAAAATTGCAACCTTTATCTCTAAACCACGATGGGTAGCTTCCCATATACATAGGTGAAAATTTTTGTCTGAATATGTATTCCATATATGATAGCTTCCAGAAGTGTATACACTAAATTGGCAGCAGTGACTTCTTGGGAATGTAGAATTCTGGGTAATTTTTAATTTCCTCATTTTCAGTTAAATATATTTCCTGACTTTTTCACAAATAATGTGTAGTTACTTATGTGTAAAGTTCCTGTCCCACACTAAGCCTTGAGAGATGCTCTGTCTTTAAGGCACATTGTCCTTGGTTTCTGGTGGCCGTGGTCCCCTCCCGGGCTGTGTGGTTGCCTGACAAGCAGGGCCTTGGAGTCTGGTACCAGGCGCAGTCAGGTGGCAGAGACAGAGGCGTCTTATACAGTATGAGTCTCTCACCCTTGCTTCTTATCAGTTTAGCTGATAAGCTGAGGTTATTATATTATCTTGGCCAACCGGACTTTTCTTGTCTGCCAGTAACTTTCATTACATTTGACTTGGCTTTATTTTAGTGTTATTTTACAGTTTGTGACAGAAAGGGGAGAAACTTGGTAGCTGCTTATGTCGATCATTGCACCACGGGAATTTATTAAAATGCTTCAGTTTCAAAACACAAATGTGTTTTCTGTTCTGTATAGGGAGCAGAGCAGTATGTGGTCCAGTTTTCCTCTAGGGTGTTTTTTCTGCTACAACATCTTTATTCTCTTTCCTAGCAATTACCAGTGATAACATCCAATACCATTGTGAGGTGCCGATCTTGTCGAACATATATCAACCCTTTTGTATCCTTCATTGATCAACGTAGATGGAAATGCAATTTGTGCTATAGAGTTAATGATGGTGAGTTTCATATTCTTTTAAAATATTTATTTCATTTATTTGTCTGTGCCAGGTCTTAGCTGAGGATGTATAGTTGTGGCATGCGGGATCTTTAGTTAACAGCAGGTGAGCTCTAGATCTCGGACTAGGGATCCAACCTGGGCCACTGGCATTGGAAGCAGAGTCTTAGCCACTGGACCACCAGCAAAGTCCCTCAGATTCTTAAAATAATGTGTCCTATATTATTTTAGACATTTTGACATTGTTGCTATCATCTGGTCTCTCCTCACTGTTTATAAACTTTCATGACACTTTTAATGAAGAGAATACAGGCTAGGGACACTTCATTTTTGGCTGGCCAAGGGGATAATTGATAATGCGGAGATTGACAGGGAGGAGAGAAGGTAAAAAGAATTCATAAATTATTTTTGAAGAAGTGAAGTGAAGGAGTGCAGGTCAGACAGATGAGAGCATGCACACTAATCATGCTTGGCCCTGACAAGTGTAGATTGTCTTCTTTTTGTACATTTGGTTCATTCAACTCAGTGTAGATCTCTGCCGGTATGTGTGGATGCATGCGTGCATATGTATCTGCTGTCCCCTTTAAGGACATTTAGATCCTCTTACTATGATTGCTTTCAAATCTGTGTTTCTGATTTCTTTCCCATGTCATATGACATAATAAATAGGACACAAGCCTACGAAGCAAGGCTACTTGTGTCCTGGTTTTTTCATCTGATTTCAGAAAATAAGTTTTCTTGTCCTCCTGATTTATTTTTTAAAGAAGGTTTAGGGGATTAGTTTCTACCATTAGATCTTCACAAAGCTATTATAAACTTCTTAAATATTAATGATAGAGGTGTTTATTTCTAGGCATATATATGTATTTAGAAATTGTGCTACTAAATTTGTACTGGATTCCTAATCTTATCTAGTTCCTGAAGAATTTATGTATAATCCCCTTACCCGATCCTATGGAGAGCCTCATAAACGACCAGAAGTTCAGAATTCAACAGTGGAGTTCATTGCTTCTTCAGATTATATGGTAACTATTCAGTGTTAAAATTAGTCCTGGAGTGCAATTGTATTGGTCATTTGGTAATTTACTCTTAAGTGAATTCTTGTCTAATTTTTAAAATTGTCCATAGTATGATTTCTTTGAAATAGTGCTGAAAGCTTGTACTTTATTTGTAAAGATTACTTGATCTCCTAGAAGAATGCAGTTACAAAAAGAAACAACAAAAAAAAAAAAGAATGCAGTTACATCCCTAAGAAACATTGGTAATGTTTCCTAGTAAATACTATCATCTACAATTTGTTGCCATTTTGATTTCATTACTTGCATGGAATGAATATAAGTATTCTTTTTACCATTTAGTATTTAAGATCCTTCAATAGAAAATCTCGTATTTTTGTCAAAAATTGCTTTTAAGAACTTGCTTTACACCTAGCACTTAACCCTTGGGATTCAACTGCCATCAGGTGACCCAATGGTACTAATGATTGTCGGGTTTAAAAATATAAATGTTTAAAGTAAAATATGTTTAGGAGTAAGGAAGGGGTTAAAGATTAATATATAATAATAAATATGCTTAATTTTCCTTGGAAAAATATCTCAGCCATCACTCCATCAGGAAGACATTTAGCCTATCTGTTTAACCAGATAATTACTGTGTAATTACTGCCTAATCATGCTTAATCCATGACCAAATTTAAAGGAAAAAAAATCAAAGGAATATCATTTTCATTACCTAAGATCTTATAAAACATTGATTCTATTTGTGTAGATATATGTATATATATTTTACAATCAGTAAATATCCAGTACTAGTTGCGATATAAAAAGAATGACTTATACCTACTGAATATGTTACATTATTTCTATTCCTTTCAGCTCCGTCCACCTCAACCCGCAGTTTACTTGTTTGTTTTAGATGTGTCTCATAATGCAGTAGAAGCTGGATATTTGACAATTTTGTGCCAGGCACTTTTAGAAAATCTAGACAAGTAAGAATTTTTTTTTACTCAGTGTGTGTGTGTGTGTGTGTGTGTGTGTGTGTGTGTGTATAAGTGTATAAAATCTGAAGCGTGTATATAAGCAATTTATGGGGTTGGGTTTTATTAAGTTTGATTTCATTTATCACTAAAAGAGTACATCGTATCTACTTTAGAATAAAGATCTGCTATGTATATTATTTGGATTTATAACTTTATATCTGAATGTTAAAACCATAATAGTTTTAATACCTAGGAATTTAGATTTTATCTATCTATCCCCCTTGACTTAGCAAGTCTGAGCACTTAGATCCAGAAAACTCAACCTCGCCAGGGTATCAAGGATCTGGATGAGAGAAATCGAGCTGTAATTAATGCCTGAGCAAGAAGTTTTTCATAAGATAGTTTCAGATGTGCTAATGAGAAAATGAGCCAGATAAAGGGAGAGGAAATTGATACTGTGCTGAATATTTCAAGAAGCCAGAAACTGAACTGGCATATTAGTAAGAAGCTTTATGGTGAAAGTGGAAACAAAGTATAGGATAAGGTGATTATACTTGGCTCTAATTCCTGCCTGTCTATCTACCAGTATTAGTCATGAAGGAGACCCTTAACTAAACTCAAAAAGTGGATGTTCCAGATCTCTAGGAAACAAAGTTGTTTGTACATTTCTTTTTCTACTCCAACACCCATAAGAAATATGGCTTAAGGTTGTTAGTAAGAGTAGCTTCCTACTGCAGTGGGTTCTTGATTTGTGTAGAGGTGTAGGGGTGAATATATATATTGAATATATTAATTGAATTGAATTCTCTATATATATATATTCAATATATATTGAAATATATTTCAATATTCAAAATACATGAATATTTTGTCAGAAATACTCATTGATTCCAAAAGGTTCTTCTCTTCCATCTTCCATTTGAGTTTGAGAATCCTTATTCTGTTGAGTGCTAGCTCTAGACGCTATAATTGTGTATCACTGATTTTGGCCTGTGAATAAACTGATAACATTGAGACATTCAGGATTAAAAACATTCAGAGATATTAAATGATTTGCTTTAAGTTTCTGTTAGTAACTTAGTGATTTCATATTTTTGTTCTTGATCGAAGCATTTGCCCTTTTTAAGTTACAAGTGCTTAATTCAGACATGACTTTAGCAGTGAGTAGCAAAGAAAGACACTCTGCAAAGAAATAGCTGTTAAGACTGAAGAGTTAGCTTGCTGGAAAGGTATTTGATGATATAGCACTAGAAATAGGAGCCAGTGCAATGCAAGAGACCAGGGTTCAATCCCCAGGTCGGGAAGATCCCCTGGAGAAAGAAATGGCAGCCCACTCCAGTATTCTTGCCTGGAGAATTCTATGGACAGAGGAGCCTGGTGAACTGTAGTCCATGGGGTTGCAAAGAGTCAGACACGACTGAGACAAACACATTCACTTTTCACTTTCAACAGAGATGAGTGACTATTTGCAAATTAAATGGTCTATGGAAAGCCAAAAAGATAATATTGGGAATGAAAAATAGTTTTTAAAAACGTATATGTTTGATTAAAGTGGAAATTAAAAGTATCAGGAAAGTAAAAATGTAAAGGTGATAGGATAGCAATAAGATATTACCATGCTTTTGGAAAGGGCTGTGTATGTAACTTTGAGAAAGGAAATTCGATGCTGGAGCAGTTCTGGCTCAGCTTTGTATTTTGGCCTAGAGTTACGTAGTCTCCGTTGCGATTGATAACAAATGACTCTAGTAAGCAGTGACCTTAGAAATCTCAAAGAAGTGAAGAAATTAGTCTGTAGAAACAAGATAAATCTTGACCAGTATTGCTAAGCTAAACACCTGCATAACTTGTTGTTTTCTGTTCTCTGAAATGCCTTTTTAAAAAATTGGAATATAATTGCTTTACAGTGTTGTGTTGGTTTCTGCTTTACAATGTCATGAATCAGCCTCTAAGTAGCCTGATTGATCTTTCCTAATAATAATAGTGCTTCTTGCTTTGATGCACACTGTTTTGGCATCCTGTAATATTAAAAAATATCTTTAAAGACATTGCTAAAAAGAAAAAAAAAATAAAGACATTGCTAAAACAATAAATTATGTAAAAAATTGTAATAAATTACATTAAAAAATTATAGCAGTTAACATGATGGTACTTAGAAATATATTGATACTTTTGTAAGGCAGGGCATCTATTTTATTATTAATAAGGATAGCTTGACAGGCTTTTTTTTGACAGGCTTTTAAATGGTTATTTATTCTTTGCTGTATTATTGACTTGAATACTGACAGAAAATTTGAATACTTGAATACTCACAGAAAAGTTTTAAAACAATGATAATAGATTAAATGTCTTGATGTTTCTGAATGTGGTTTTTATTTAAAATTTTACATGTTAAAATCTTTTCTTGAAAAGTACTCATTTTGTCCTTAAAATACTTAAACAATATACATGATTTTTATAATACTAAAACTGAAAATATGAGCAATTTTTACTTAAAGAGTTTGTTTCAGAGGAAAGTTAGCAAAAAATCTTTGTTTTTTAAGCATATCATTTCAAGTTTTGATTTATTATTTGAAGATAGTTCTGTTATCAGAGGCATGAACTCTATAAACATGTCTGGTTTCGTCTGAAAATGAAATGTTTTATACTTACTCTTTTCTGATATGCATTGGTTTAGATAGGGGTAACTGTCCTCTATTAAAAAAAAAACAGTATTTTTTGAAAATAGGATATGTCACTTAGCAGTTTGAATTTAAAATTATAATTTTTATCTTTAGGCTCCCTGGAGATTCACGAACAAGAATAGGATTCGTGACCTTTGATAGCACTATTCATTTCTACAATTTACAAGAAGGATTATCACAGCCTCAAATGTTGATTGTATCTGATATAGATGGTAAGCAGTGAATAAAACAAACCTCTATTAATAAGACAGAATTTTGGAATTAAGGGTACTTTATTTTACAATACATCTTGTCATAATGCTGTACAGATAATTTAGCTCATTAGATATTTGTTTTAAAATAATTGCTTTCCTGGAAAGTACTTGAGTCAAAGTTTTTCACACCTGTGTATGTGTACTTACACATGCTCACACACACACACATGTATGATGTGTGCAGAGGATATATATTAAAGAGCAATATTGTGCATACCCTTTACATGTATGGGCTTAAAAAACTAAGATATTTTAAATTCGAAATTCTTTTGAGTTTATTTATATTTTGGTTAAAATATATGTTTTCCCTATAGATGTTTTTCTACCTACTCCGGATAGCTTACTTGTGAATCTATATGAAAGTAAAGAGGTGAGATTGACTTTTTTTTTTTAAGTATTAAAGTATTTCTGTTACTTCAACTGATTGTAATGTTCAACATGTGTTTACTTGGTATATATTAACATTGCAGTAAACATTGTAGGTAGCATATCTGTTTACTGCTCACTTTACAGTCCTCCAAAATGTAGTGGCATATACTGTACTCTGGAATATTTTAAAGAAGAATATTGCCCTTCCTTCTCAGTAATTCCACTTTTAATCTTTGTTTTCCCAGCTTATAAAAGACTTATTGAATGCATTACCAAATATGTTCACCAATACAAGAGAAACACACAGTGCCCTGGGTCCTGCTCTCCAGGCTGCCTTTAAATTAATGTCTCCAACAGGTGGCCGTGTGTCTGTATTTCAGACACAGTTACCTTCCTTGGGGGCAGGACTTCTGCAGTCCAGAGAAGATCCTAATCAGAGATCAAGCACAAAGGTATATTAGTTCCTTTCTCATATTCAAGATCATGGTTTCTACCTCTGTTGACTTGTTTAATTATTTGTTAGTCTATTTTTCTAATTCTTTGACAGTTAAAAAAAAAATACAAACTGGTAAGAGAATTTAATTTAAATTACCATTTTGTTGTTGTGTTGCAGTGTGTTCTTTTTAATACTTTGTTTTATGAGTCATAGAAATTTAGAAGTTATCTACTCTAACCCTTTTTTTACAGATGAGGAAACAGATTAAACAGTCTTGCCAAAAGTTAAATAAATATTTAATGGTAAAGATGTGACTTAGATTTTCTTACTCTAATGCTCTTTTCTATTTCACAATTGATAAAACTTACTAAATCTGAGATAAAATTTAATCTGCACATATTAATAAATTTTTAATGAAGGTAATACAAATCATTGTATAAAACTTGGAACATAGAAACATATAGATGATCAGTTATCTCATTGTCAAGATTAATAGTAGTTAAATAAATACAAGTAAGTGTAATTGGGCATCATACATGTATACTATATTTTTTCATTGACTTTTTTCACTGAAGTGAGCATTCACTCATAGTGAGCATTTTCAGAAGTCCCTAAAAATTCTACTTAAAAAGGGTTTTTTAGTAAATATGAAAAACATGATTTCGTTAATTGCCTTCTTGCTGTTTAAGAGTGAAATGAGGCTGAATGTTCCTAGGGTTTTACAGTGAAGATTTGGTCAGGGTATTTTAACCCCAATTTCAAATACTTGTTTTTGTTCTGTAAATAAGTTTTGTCTGACCTCAACTTATATATATGAAAATGCCATTGCATCTAGTTATGAGTATGAATTAAACAGTTTTAATAGTGTTGTAAATCTTTAGCCATATATTGTTTTTCCCTAAGATAAATTTCTAGAAGTGAAATTATTGGATCAATGAGTATAAACTGTATTTAAAATTATTATTTTATTTTACTTATTGGGATTTCTAATCAACCTGTACTCTTAAGGACTCTGATTACTTTTTTATTCTTTACCAATTTGCTAAAGAATTGCACTGTGTTTTACTTTTGAATAGCACTGTATTTTATTTTTTATGAAATCGTGCTTTTAAATTGCTTTTGAGAAAGAAGCTAATTTCAAAATAAACTGGGGACAAGTATATTTTTTATATTTATATTTTTTATTATATTATTTATATTTATATTTTTTAACTCATCAACAAGTACAGCTAACATTATCCAGTGCATTGATCCATCGAAATCCATTATGGATTACTGAACAAAAGCAAAGTGTTTACTGATTTCTTTGATACAGTTTTGGGTTTTTTGTTCTCATTTAACTTTTAGAAGTATTGTCTTATCTGCCTGAGACTCAAGAATTTAAGTGTCTGTTCTAAGCTCACATAATAATCATACATTATAATTGAAACATTTTGTTGTGCAATGTAGTGAAATAATTAAGAACTTGGAGCCTGGCTTTTGCATTCTTAACTCTTCTCTATTGCCACCTCCTCAGCTCAAGTGTCCTCCTACCAACAGGAAAGACTTTGCTTACGCTGTTAGTCTCTCCTGTTATTGTGGAACAGTATACGTGTAATAATTGGTAACAGCATTCATTCTGGAGCCAGACTGCTTGGATACTCCAGCATCTACCACTCAATAACTATGTAATTAGTTGAGTTACATAGTCATTTGTTTGCCTCAGTTCCCTCATCTGTAAAATGTTGGTAACTCTGTGAAATATATATTATTATGAGGATTAAATAATTTAATTATATAAGACATCTGTGCTGCCCTATATGTGCTTTTATAAATGTTAGTGATTATTCTCATAGGAAATCTATGCCAAGGATTTCAAAAGAAATCCTTAGTTTGATAGGGGAACAGAGGATATTCTCTTCCTTATTGTAACAGATAGAAATATATGCATAATTCAAGGTTTTCTAGCTCTTACTTTATGACCTGTTGACTTAGGTTGTACACCATCTTGGCCCTGCAACTGATTTTTATAAGAAACTCGCTTTAGATTGCTCAGGGCAGCAGACTGCAGTGGATCTGTTCCTTTTAAGTTCACAGTATTCTGATCTCGCTTCTCTAGGTAAGGAGATACCTTTGTATTTATCTGTTTTTACATAAACATTTTTAGCATATAATTAAATGTAAATTCTTTACTAAGAGTTCTCAGTTGTTTGGGGAGAAAGACATGTGAATTAGATAATGTCTATGAAATTACCACTAAACTTAAAAAAAAAAAAAACACCCTACCCTATACAAATATAAAATGCTAATCTGGGTTGTTGTTTTTCTTTAAATACAATTCTTTTACCATTCTGCTCAACAGTAAACTTAATATATATTATGTTTTATAAATATTTCTTTCTCAGACTTATATATTATCCCCATTTTTGACCACTGTAGGTTTTTTTTTCATTATAACTTAGATTTCTTCATAATACAGAATCTGCACTGCTGTTGGACAAGTAAAATGTTATCATTTCAGTAGCTAATACTTTTCCTTTTTCTCTCTAAAGCTTGCATGTCCAAGTATTCTGCAGGGTGCATCTATTATTATCCATCTTTCCACTATACTCACAATCCTTCACAAGCAGAAAAGTTACAAAAAGATCTAAAACGGTATCTCACAAGAAAAATTGGATTTGAAGCTGTTATGAGAATAAGGTGTACTAAAGGTATGAAATTATAAAAGTTATGCTTTATATTATATATTTTCTTCAAAATTAATAAGCGTTCATATGTTGACAACCTGTGACCACCTTTCATCATAAAAAAGATTTTCTACTTGATCCAACTAGCTGTACTGTTTTAAATATTGTTATTAAATAATCATTGTTCAGTTTTTTTACATAATTTGAATAAGTGGGCAGAGGTAATGCTTTGCCTTATTAGGAGAAAGTCAAGAGAAAGCCCATATTGGAAGTGATTTCAGATGAATTTGAGGAATAGGGAGGATCTTAAGTGAAAATTGTCTAATTAATGATCTTTGCCTTCCTCATCATTCAAACAATCTTCAGTTTTGGTTATCTCTGTTTTATGTGAAAAGTACTGCTCCCCAGTTAGCCTTTTGATTCAAAATCAGAGATATTTTTTATTTAAAAAGTAGCTTTAACCTCATATAAGGAGACTAGTGCTACTTCATCTTTTATAACAAGTTTTCTCTTCCCTAGGTCTTTCCATGCACACTTTTCATGGAAATTTCTTTGTCCGTTCCACTGATTTGTTATCCCTCGCCAACATCAATCCCGATGCTGGATTTGCAGTACAACTCTCAATTGAAGAAAGTTTGACAGATACTTCCTTAGTGTGCTTTCAAACAGCCCTATTATATACATCTAGCAAAGGTAATGTTAACAGAAGTGAAATGTAACCTGCCCCATAATTCTCGCCTCTTTTCATCTACCGGGAGATTGGGAGAGTGAACACCAAAGGGAAGTAATGGAATTTGTGTTCATCAAATATACGTTCCACTCACTCATTTTTGAATCTTCAATGAGTACCTTTTTTGACTTGTGGAAGACTTGGACCCCCAGAATCATATTAGCATAATAACTCAAACTAAATCTGTCTGGGTTATCCTGAGCGTTATTTCTTTATCCATAACATGAGAAATTCTCCATGGCACTTAAGGTCTATCTGGTCTGTTTTCTGACATTATACCATGTAACATATAATTTAGAATGAGTACTGCTAAGATTAAAAACCAGAACCTAGTGTTCAGAATATAGTGTATGTTCATAGTCTATGTTCAGGTTTAGAGAATGTTTAATTTTCTTTAAAACATGTTCATTGTAAAACTTTGTTTTTGCCATTTCAAAATCCTGTTGGTAATTTAATACCATCAAATAATAACTTGAATAATATTTTGACCTATTTGCTTTCTTTATTTCTTGGCCTAATGTATTTTGCAATGACATGGATTCATCCTTTGATTAGGTGAGCGGAGAATTAGAGTGCACACTCTTTGCTTGCCAGTGGTCAGTTCACTAGCAGATGTGTATGCAGGAGTGGATGTACAAGCTGCCATCTGTCTCCTGGCAAACATGGGTAAGTAAAAAAGTGAAGCAACAGGTGAAATATATTTTTCTATACTAAAAACTGAAGACTGGGCATTGTTTTACCCTAGAAATTCCTCATTTAAAAAGTATTTATATTTTACATTTTCATTTACAACAGTGTGAATTGAGCTGTTCTCATTCTTATTAATTCTTTAGTTTAAAAATCATGTGTGGGATTCATCATCATTAATAACTGGTAGCATCTCAAGTGTTTTTCAAATGGTGACTGCATGAACAAACTGTGGTACATCCATATGATGGAATACAACTTGGCAATGAAAAGGAATGAACTGTTGATATGTGAACAGATGTGGATGACTCAAAGGCATTATGCTAAGTGAAAGAAGCGAAACTCAAAAGGCTACATACAAATGATTCATTCATTCAACGTTCTGGAAAAGTGAAAATTATAAGAATGAAGAATAGTTCACTGATTATCAGGGTTGGTGGAAGGAGGAGGATTTTTACTACAAAGGGGCAGCCACACTCAAGGGAACAACTGAAATGTATTTTTCTAACCTAAAAATGAAATTTCTGTTTGTTTCTTTAAGTATTGCATGTAAATTTTATCTCTTACAGTATTCACTGGCATCTAATGTTAAAAACTTTTTCATTTTCGTTGCTTTATAGCTGTGGATCGATCAATTTCCTCAAGCCTATCGGATGCAAGAGATGCCTTAGTGAACGCTGTGGTGGATTCATTATCTGCATACGGCTCAACTGTCTCAAATTTACAGCACTCGGGGTTGATAGCACCCAGCTCCCTCAAGTTGTTTCCTCTCTATGTTTTGGCCCTTCTCAAACAGGTAGCTCTCTGTACACTGTTAGATTTTATAAAGTCTTATGAAATTTTCAATGTATAGGTTTCCAAACCTAGTTTTTCTGGTGGGCGGTAGGGAATTAAATACTTGATTAGACAGTTGCAGCTTAGCATTGGAGGAGTTTTAAACAGGAAGAGGTGAATGGAAAATGAAGGTATACAAATCCATGATGACTCTCATGCAACTATGCTCTCACTCTAACATGTGGGAGCAGCGTGAATAATGGTGTGTGTGTAGCACACTCTTAGTATGTGCTCCTGGAAAGAGACTCTAAGGACAGGGCCTGCTGTTCACTGGACGTCTTCCCAAGTCTCTGGCACCATAACACGTGTTGTATATACATCATTGCATTTAATCCTTACAGCTCCCTAGAGGTATTATTTTCTCCTTTTTTCTTATGATGTCAGTCAGTATACCTTTGAGAAGCTAAGTAACTTGCTCACATATCTACCAATTAAATTGTTAGTGTTGAAATCTGAATCCAGGCCTATCTGGTGTGAAGGCTGTGCTTTTCCCATGGCTGATGGTATATATCTGTTTTAATATTTCTCCACCATATTTACGTTTTACTGAAAAATGTGTATTGTTTCTCCATGTAGAAAGCGTTTAGAACCGGCACAAGCACACGCCTGGATGATCGTGTATATGCCATGTGTCAGATAAAGTGTCAGCCACTTGTTCATCTAATGAAAATGATTCATCCCAACCTGTACAGGATAGACAGATTGACAGATGAGGTATGATTTTTTTTTTATTGTGTTTGAAATTTTTTAATTTAAATTTATTCGGGTGTCTTGAGTCTGCATCTAAGATAGTATTGTATTGTTAACAATTTCTTCCATCTGTTTTTCCCCTGTGACAATAATACATTAAATACAGATGTTAACTATGGATTTGATTGGACAACAGGACTATTAGATAGTTATGGCATTTTCAAAACTCATTTCATATGGGAAGTGATTAACTTTGTGGATTTGATTATTTACTGCAAAGCAGCATTATAGAAGGACATTTCTGTTTGTATTTTGAAGATATTGACAGTTTCTGATGTGATCAGAGTGCAACTTTGACTATATTATTGTAAAACTAATCTGGTATCCAACAGTATTTTTAATATGCCAATATGTAATGTCTTTTTTTCTACTCTTTGGAATCAAAAAGTCCTTTGTAGCAGATATTGTAGTCATACTTTTAGTATATCCTGAACCCAGAAGGGAAGGAAATGGGCAGATCTTTTTACCTAGTCAAGTTTTTATGTTTTAAATTTGAATACCTTTGAGCATCTTTTAATTTAAATACATTTGAGAGTCTTGATTCTACAGCCAAGGTGGTGTATATTACCAATACAGCTCATCCTGGAGCAGCATGAGGGTTATGAGCACCACCCCTGTGCAATTGAAAGGCCATGTATAACTTCATGGTCAGTCCTCTGTATCCTCTATTCGGTGCCCATGGATTCAACCAAATGCAGATCATGTAGTTCTGTAGTATATATTGAGAAAAACTGCATATAGGTGGACCTACGGAGTTCACACTCATGTTGTTCAAAGGTCACCTGTAGTTTTTACATATTACAAAATTATAAAGTATCATTTTTTCAGTATCAGAGCTAGTGGCGGTTAGCTTCCAGCCTGAGATAGTAGTTATGTAAGGTCACTCACATTCTATCTTTTTTCTTTTCAGGGTGCAATACACGTTAATGACAGGGTTGTACCTCAGCCACCTCTTCAGAAACTGTCTGCAGAGAAACTGACACGAGAAGGTGCTTTCCTTATGGACTGTGGCTCTGTAAGTTCCCTTTAGTGACAGAGCTTAACAACGGCAGCTGGCAAAAAGAGAAACACTTAGAGGATCCAGCTCTGTTACCACAGATCAGGCAGTGAAAGGTGGTTTGGGAACTCAGGGGCAATAAATAGGAACTGGCACAGGAGATCAGTTTATTTAAGAGGAGTAAAGAGATAAACTCCTTACTTCAAGGAATTTTTTGTCTAGAATCATAAAATTCTAAGGGACCTCAAGAATTTTTGTAGTTCAACTTGATCTGTTGTCTGAAATGCCATTAATAGTTAGGATTTCAGGAGATGTCATTGGACAGGGTGGTGGTGAAGGGTGTCAGAACAGGCAGGGTGGCTTCGTTAGTGACACCTTGTGAGTAGGAAGAGAATTCCAATAACCACAATACGGGGTGGGGAGTGGTAGGGCGCAGGGGACATTGGTTACAGTACAGAGACAGCGATGGAAATAGTGGGTAGGAAATGTAATAATGTATCTTGGTTGAAGCATTGGGGGAAAAGTAAGGAAAACGGTAAAATATATTTTATGAGAAGCTTGAAATTTCAGCAGAGAAGATATGAGCCACTCTGGATTCCTGAATGCAGATTCCAAATATGCAGGTTACAGGCCTCCTTTTTTACTTTCGTGTTTATTCCTACTTGATTCGAGCTAGTGTACTTTGCCTCTTTTATGCTTGATGATTTTGAGAAAATGAGCTGTAATGGGGTTCCAATTAGGGAGTTTTACTGTAATTTGTTTTGTTTTTAGATTTTTTACATTTGGATTGGAAAGAGCTGTGACAATAACTTTATAGAGGATGTGCTTGGGTATCCTGATTTTGCATCAATACCACAGAAAATGGTCAGTGGATTTATACAGCTTTAACTTTTTATGTACTTACTTGTTTAATGTTTTTTTTTTGAGATATAATGCACATAAGAGTCACCATTTTACTAATTTTAAAATGTACAATGCATTTGTTTTTAGTATATTCACAGTGTTTACAACCATTTCTAGTATATAATTTCAGAGCATTTACATCACCTCAAAAAGAAACCTGTATCTCCCAATTCTTCCTGTTTTCCCTGGGCAACCACTAACCTACTTTCTATCTTTGTGGATTTGCCTTTTCTAGACAATTCATATATATGGAATCACACAATGCAAGGCCTTTTGAGTTTGACGACTTCTCACCATGATTTCAACATCCATGTTGTAATGTGTATCAGTAATTCATCCTTTTTTATGACTAAATAACAGTCCATTGTATGAATAGATCACATTTTGTGTATCCAGTCATCTCTTCTTGGACATTTAGGTTATCTCTACTCTAGTGCTATTGTGAAAAGTGTTTCCGTGAACAATTTGTGTACAAATGTTTGTGTGAACACGTTTTCAGGTTCTCTTGGATCTGTAACTGGAGTAGAATTGCTGGGTCATACGGTAAACTTTTTGAGCAACTCCAGACTATTTTCCAACAACTTTAACTTGTCTAAATTATTTTGCTGATAATAAACATAATTTTGTATGTTGATACCAAAGAAATATGATTCTGAAAGCAGTTCTCTATGCCACTTAATGGAAAAGGCCTACCTTATTCTTGGATATTGTAAATATGTCCTTTCTCCTAAAATTAATATAAGTCAATGTAATTCTTAACCACATTCGCTATTTGATTTTTTAAAGTTTGCCACATTAATCCAGAGTTTATTTCTAAGACTCAACAAAGAAGAAAAATGAGAAAATGATTTGAACAGGTAATTCATAGGTGGAAAATATAGTAGTGGCCATATGAATCAATGTTCAGCTTCATTTATAATTAAGAAAACAAAATAAACTATTAATAGCAGTATAGTATTTCTTTCATTTATCAGATTTTGCCCCCTGGTAAAAAATTTTTTAATTTGATAATAGGCAATAATGCAGAGGGAATAGGTCAGCACGCCTATTGATTGCACTGTATACATTTACATAGTCTTTAGGAGAACCATTTGACAGTACCTGTTGAAATTAAAAACGCACAGCGTATGACATAGTAAATTATTTACTCCTAAGAATGTATCCTATAGATATACTCATAGAAGTATTCATATGTACACATATACTTAAGAGGATATCGTGCTTATATGCTAAGTCACTTAAGTCATGTCCAGCTCTTTGCGACCTTTGGACTGTAGCCCAAGCTCCTGTGTCCATGGGATTATCCAGGCAAGAATGCAGGAGTGCGTTGCCATGCCCTTCTCCAGGGGATCTTCCTGAGCCAGGGACTGAACCCACATCTGTGGCTCTTACATTGCTGGTGGATTCTTTATCACTGAGCCGCCAGGGAAGCCCAAGTAAAATCTACGAATCTATTAAAAAGAACACAATCTGAAAAAGAAAACAATGTGTATAATATCCATTTGTATTTCCAAAAAATGTGTTTCTGTATATAATAGTGACTATATTATATATATTTAGAAAATATATGAAAGAATGTACATAAAAATATGTTTTTCTTGTGCTTTTAAAATATTGATATAAATTTAAATATAATTAACCCAAACTTTTCTGTTTAAATTTTTGTATACTGTGTACTTTGGAAAAAACTCATCGTACACATGGAAGAATACCCTGTTTCTGCATTGCAGGTGGCTTCCTTACCATCTGAGCCGCCAGGGAAGTCCTCAGATGCACACACACACACACATGTAAAAGAGTAGACTCTTTAGGGCTTTTAAAAAACAGTCTTGCGTATGGTTTTTAAAACAGTCACACTGTTCTTTTAAAATTTCTTGCCCTTAAATATTAAGGACAAAGGAAACATAAAATTCTGTAAGAATGTCTGTTATTAGAATACTGTATCATTGTTTATAAGTGAAACTGAAGCTTAATGATAGGCCCCCAACTTGAATATTTCCTTTGGAAGAAATAAAAAGTATAACACAGTACGAGTAACATACTAATTGTGTATGTTTTATTGACTTTTCTGGAAAAACTATAATATTCAGGTAAAATATCAGTGGCATACTTACCATTAAATATGTCTTATTAGTCAGAAAAACAGATTTGTCAACAGTGTAATAAATCTCGTGTGTTCGGTTGCTGCTGTTGGGGCTGGAATCGAGTGCTGGCGTTTGGTGGCAGTCGTGATTATGACTGAGTTCTAATACTGCCTACGTCTATGAGAAAGAAAATGACTTCCTAATTGCATTTTTTACCAGACACATCTTCCAGAGCTAGACACACTTCCATCAGAGAGAGCCAGATCCTTTATAACTTGGCTTAGAGACAGCAGACCATTAAGCCCAGTTCTTCACGTGGTAAAGTAAGTACTTCTGTAACTTAATTATGAAATTGTGTTATCCTGTCCAATCCATGTGAAATTGTTTGTCTTCAAATCAAATTTTAAATAATAATATCAAAATACATTGTAGTGGTAGAAGGCTGTTACTTGATTAACATCCCCTATCCTTTTTTGTAAAAGTCCCCATGTATTTTTTCTAATGTATAAGTATTCTTTTTAATAATATGCATTTTTAGATAAATATCCCTTTTTCTTTTTCAGAGATGAAAGTCCTGCCAAAACAGAATTTTTTCAACATTTGATTGAAGACCGGACAGAAGCTGCCTTCTCTTACTATGAATTTTTGCTTCATGTTCAGCAGCAGATTTGTAAGTGAAGTGAAATAAAATTGAATAAGAAGAAAGAGATCTATAACCTAGGTAAAGCATTAATCTGTCAGAGAAGCACATAAGAAATTTGAAATGAAGGCACTTGTTACAAGAGGCAGTGCATAGCGTAGCACCTTGTCTGAGGCTTTGGCAAAAGGTAAAGAGGCAGAAGGAACTTCACAGATTTTCTTCACTGAGTTTGATGCTGATGACGCTATTTCACCAAGTATATGTTGAATTGGTTTCCACACATTTCCAGAGTGCCGCAGTACAGTTCTCTGTTCATTGCAAGCTGGCAAACTTCTGTAGCTATGTGGGAGGGTATGCCAATGAAAAGTTAGATGGACTCCTTTTTCTTATAATTAATATAACACTTCTGGACTTGAACTCTGACAGGAGATGCCAAAAGGCAGTCGTACCATGTTATTTGTTTATATGAATTACTTTTTAACAAGGAATGATTCATATTCATTAAATGAATTCAATATTTTCCCTGTAAAAACAATAGAGTTTCAGTACATGAACTATAGAAAAAATATATATATAATGTACATAAATGTTACATTTGTAAAGAAAATGTAAAAATGTAACTACAGAATATGAATTGCTTAAATTGTGTTGCATTGTTGGATGACAACTCTTTTTGTCGCAGTTAGAGAATGAGGTTGACTAATGCATATTATGAATTGAGTCCACAAAAGAAACACAAAACTCTTTGTAATTCTGTTAAATCTTTTATGTGGATTTATTTATGATCAACCTACTAATTAAAAATATTTTGCTTGACAATATGGCTTGGTATTTCGTGTGTTTATGGTTGGGGAGAATTGGTGGTATTCTTACATCTAGGATGTATTGGATTTACTGCTCAAGGAAATGCAGTGATACTGTATTTCAACCAGTAATATATGTGAATATGTTTTCATTAATTTGTGAACATTACCAAGTACTTATTCTGTTTGTATTCAGAAAACAAACCCTACTTTCAAAATATATATGACTGTTGACTAATCATAAGCTTAATTTGTCTTTCTTGGTTAAATTAGGCTTTTTTTTTTTCTTACACATTCATAGCAAAATTTTTATAACATGTGACTATTCTATTTAATTGGCTTTTAAGATTACCATCTGGAACTTTGAGAGTAATCTGATTCTGATTTTTAAAAATCTCGTTTATTAACATTTATTTACTATAAAAACTGTTAATGATCCATTAGGTTGTAGAATAAAATTTTATTATAAACACTATAAAAGTCCTACTGATGAACTTTGGAAGGGAAAAGGTTCTTGATGTGTGTGATGAGTGGTTTTGCACTTGTTGGATCTCTTTGGATAAAAATAAAAGTAGTCTCTTATATTCCCTGCTGGAAATGAGAGGTTAAATGACTCACCCTAAATGACATTACTAATTAGTGACAGAGCTGATAGTAGAAGTCAAATGTTCTACCCACCCGCCACCTACTCCCAGCCCAGCCCACCCCAGCACTGTATGTGTCCCTGCGCCGTGCGGCCTGCAGCAGGAGGGAATCTTACTGAATTAGGACGAGCTGCAGTGTTCCCAGGGCAGCTATATACTGTGATTATATAATGCGAAGTATCATGTTTCTAAATATTTTTGTCTTTGGATAGTTTGTTCCTCATTTAATAGGTATTTATTAGCACTTAATACTTGCTAGATATTGGTCTAGCTCAAAACACAGAAAACCCCGATTTCACAGTGCTTACTTACACTCCTGAGTTGAGTGTGTGGAGGACTGGGGAAAAGACAGCATGTTTGTATGTCAGGTGTGGGAAATGCAAGGGAGAAAAATAAGGCAGAAAAAGTATCAAGAATGCTGGTTTTGACAGTAACTAGGGAAGGCCCTTCTGAAAAGGTGACTATTGAAGAGAGCCATGTGGCTGTCTGGAAGGAGAGGCATCCAGGGTGTGAATCTTTATAGTAGGTAAATGTGGAAGTTAGCCTTTGGTCACTCTGGTTTTCCCTATTAAATAATAGAAGCACTTAGAGTTACCAATTGAGAAAGGGTAAAGGGTGTTAGGATCCCAAGAAATAGTCGCCTAGGAAGAGTAAGAGATGGGCTGACCAGTGGCTTGAAGTAGCGTTGTCAGGCAGCATGAACGTAAACCAGTTAGCATGCCTCTTCCTTCTAGCCGGATTTCCTGCTTGGTGGAAAATTGGATTTAAATTAGAGCAGAAGAGCAGGGGAACTGTGGATGCATACAAGGAAGCTACTCTGTCATCCCAGTGGAAGGGATGCACACTGAGCGATAGAGAAGGGCTTAGTAGTCTGAAGGTCCTGTTGAGGTCAGAGAGCTGTCAGAGTGTGGAGACCAGAGGGAATGAACTGGAAAGACAGGAAGTGGCAGTCAGGATATGGGATGCTTGAAATTGAGATTTGGGGAAGTTTAATCTAGATGTCTACAAATGTGCGGAGAGATGCTTACCTGGGGTTTGAGATCAACAGTAGCCACATTGAAAAGCCTTGTTCTCTAAAGGCAGCCTAACTTCAGTTAAGAGAATGGAGATTGACATCAGTGGGAACAGTGTGAGGAGGTTGATCTTAATGGGCTGTAGATAGATTATCTATCATCCTCACTCTCTCCTATGGGACAAGTCTCTGGCCCTTTGTTTTCTGAGGTGGGGAGTGATGAGAGAAAGGGGCATGCTCACCAGGAGTTCTCTGAACCCCTTTTCAACTAACTGAAACTGTCATTAAAGTGAACAGTTTAGGGGTATCCCAGGTAATGTGAAAATCTGCTAATCTGCTATTAGAGTCAGTGTTTAATAGGAACATACAATTTGATTTATAGTTGACACACTATTAAGGAATATATCCTAGCACAAATCGAGTGCATTGATGGAAAAAGAATTCTATTTTTCGTTTATACATTAATGTATTTTTGTGTGCTAAAAACTATTTGACAGCTGTTTATAGATATGAATCTGTTATAGTCAACCTGTGAGGCTATGAAATGCATATATCACTAATAGCAAAGTGTTAAGAAAACCATGATTTTTTTGTTCAAAGTAACTTGAAGACACTGAAAATACTTTTAAAGGCCAAAAAAGATGAAAATTAATGAGATTGAAAGCAACACTGCAGATATTTAGGTGGAATCTCTTAATTACTGAAGACAGTTTAAAACAAAAATAAAGCACTTAATCTTTGGCACATGAAACAAAGACCTCCTGAAAAATAAAAATGATAGATACTTCATGAATCACTCATCTCTTATCTCTAAATTCAGAGATGGGATCTGTGTCAACCAGAAAACTGGGCATCCTCCTCCTCTGCCTTCTTAGGATACCTCCGAGAGGCAGAGAAGTGAGCCGTGATTGGGGGACACAGAGGCTCTTAACCCATTGCCTTCTCATGCATCTTGGGCTGAGCCAAAAATGAGAGCCCTAACTTTAGTTCCCATTAGTTAACAAGGCACAGTTTTGTAGATTTTCATTTCAATTTTGGGGCCAAAAAAGCATTGCTTACCAACAACCCACCAAATGAGTTTGCTGAAGATTGCTAAATTTGTAGTCAAGTGAAAATCAGTTTTTATTAGAGATTAATCGACACTTTACTTCTGTTCTCCTAAGAAACCTGGTTCCTGGGCAAGTTTGTAGTTTTGCAAAAACTCCCCAAAGTGCACATATACAGATTCTGGGTTGCAACCTCCTCAGAAGCTTCTTGGGTAAAATCTGGAACATGCCCCCCACACGTGCAGAGGACAAGGAGAGGCCAAAGAAAGAGGTGGCCGCTCCAGACGGGTGGGTGGCAGGTTTCATAAACAAAGGAATTACACGGCTTGTTTTGGGTGGCCATCGTCATGTATCCTCAAGACCACATTTCTATTTCAAGGTCAGATCCTTGGAGCAGCTTCTGGCAGTAGGGAAGGCAAGCAAAATGCAGAATCCAAGGATAGCGGAGTTAGTGGGTGTGAGAGTTTCCAGCTTGTGGGTCAATAGCCTGGCAGACAGTTGGCAGAAACTGCCCTGCAGTCAGTGACGGGCCAGCTTTTATGACAGTGTCATCGCCACTCAGAGGTGCTCATGGCTGTTATGGCTGTTTCTGCTTTTCAGGTATGTATGGTTTAGCTTATTAGCCAACTCAGTTCAGTTTTGATATCAGCATTATGCTAGTTTTGTTAAATGAATTGGATTAGCTTCCCATCTGTTTTGAGGTTTTGGAATCATTTGTAAAGAAGTTAGCTAAAGTCTAGGTATGTAAGATAGGTATTACTTATTCTGGAACTTTTGGTTGAACTTGCTCAGTAATTTCTGGGCTTCGGGCGTTTTTCCAGGTATATTATTAACCACTGTTACCATCTATGACCGTTGATCTCTTCAGGTTCTCTTTGTTGAGCCAAGTTTAGTTTTTATAGTTTTAACTTGATTGATACAAGCAATTATTTGGGGCTAGTTTTTATATCCTTTCTGTTATGTATATGTATTCCTTCTTTGTCTTAATCATTCTTGCTTCAGGTTTGTCAGACTTGGTGCCTTTAAAAAAAGAAACAACTTTTGGTTTTATTGACTGACTATTTCTGAGAGAGGTTGCTTTAGAACAAACAGGAAGTTTGATTCGTTTTCTGATTTTACCTTTATCATTTTCTTCCCACTACATCCTATAGGTTTATTTTTGCTGCTATTTTTATAGCTTCTTAGGTTGTGAGCTTACTTTCAGACTTTCCTGTTTTCTAATAAATGCATATAAGACTATACATTTTCCTGAATAATGAAGGTTTTCATTGCTGTATAATTTAAAAATAGCTCTCAACTTCTACTTATTTTCACTTAATCTATGAATATTTATTTATAACTTTGTTATTCAAATTCCAGTGGTAATGATGCTTTATCTTTTCATTAATTTCTAATTTCATAAACAGAGCTTATATGTTTGCAAGTTAAAAAAAATTTTTTTTGAGATTTCCTGTGAGGCCTCAATTATGATCATTACGTTGTGAATCTTCCATATGAGTTTGAAAATAATATGTATTCTATTGGGCACAAAGT